GCCCGCCAGTTAACCAATGGACTATGGTTTGGTTTCGGTTACTAATTTTCTATAAACTAGTAATACTAGTTCGGTTTCAAAAATAGGCCCACGGTTTGAACTATGAGCACCCCTACTAAGGGAGGGGTTCTTGAATCCACATATAAATGAAACAAATTAACTAGAACTACCATATATCCAATTAGATTTGATCCTTTACCTTCATCTCTTTCTTCCACCTAAGATAGTAGTAGTGACTACACTATTATGTCTATCATATATCCCACTTTCTTTCTTAAGAATCCATGGCCCTTATCTGCATTTTATAGGTTTGATATAATCCAATCAAAGTTGTATTCCAATTGAACAAATTAGAATACTTTTTTTCAAAAGATGAAACACATGGAGTTTAATTATTTTTGTACATGATACACTTTCTTAATTAGTTTTCCTCTCAAAAAATAATGATATGTAGTAGAGTACTTGTTAAGATTCATATGTATGGTAGGATTGGTTTGTTAAAGTAGGTTTTTGGCATAATGTTGTTTCTTCGAAAAGTGGCACCACATGAGCACCACGTCTAAAGGTGTAGTGTAAGAAAATGCCCTTTTTGGTGTTCTCATTTTTTCTACTGTTGCTAGCAATAGTATGCTAATATGACACTGGAAAATGCCTATACAACAGAAACAACAATTTTACCAAATAGAAAACTCAAAAAAAAAAAAAAAAAAAAACAAAACGGCAATGCTTATGCAATACTGTCTTCTGAGAAAATGCATCATCTCAGAAAATGATATTGGTTCCAAACACCACCAAAGTTTATAGGGGAAGAAGCCAAAATGACATTAGTTCCAAACACCGCCAAAATTTCTTGAGCAACATCTTGAAAATCGGGAAAGGTATAGTCTAAGAAAATGCCAATATTCTTCTTATTCACACGTAGCAATATATTTTGAAGCCAGGATAGAATTAAATAGTATGGTGTGTTAGGAGTAGGATGATGACCATCTAATAATGCAATATGCATGCTTATAAATAAACCTGCCCACATTGCAGAAACAGGAGAGAGAGAGGCCCTACCACCATCACTTGCATTGCATACCCACTGACTGTGTTGGCTCCTTTGTCCCTGATAATGATCAGGCAACTAGGGGTGTCAATTGGACTGGATTTGATCAAATCCGATCCAGTCCAATGTGAGTCCATTATAAATGGATCAGGTTCAATCCAATTCAATGAATGTTTTGGACCAATTTAGATCGGTCCAATTCAATGTCTGGACCATCTAATCTGTTGAAATTCATTTTGATTTAGATTGGTTCCAATCCAAATCCGGTCTATTGACACATATATTTTTATCTTATATCAATGGACACGATATTGGCTTAATCCAACCCAATCCAATATAAATTTGTTATGGACGGATCAGGTTCAATCCAATCTAATAAATATTTTGGACCGGATTGATTCAATCCAATATGTCTTGTTGGTCCGTCCAATTCATCCAAATTGATTTTAGACTGAACGGGGTCCAATCCAAAACTGGTCCATTGACACCCTTACAGGCAACTGTAGTTATTGTGCCTTATACTAAGCATGAAACTTTCAATGCAGGAGAGGGTAATTCGCCCACTCAAGCACCACCCAACATGCAGCAGGAGGGTCGCCTTTCTCCCGAGCCTTGATGTCATCAGACGAACAAAAATGGCCTTATCCAACGACCCAAGATTTACTGTGATGGATAGCACTTAGCAGGATAGGACAGTTGATATATCTCGGTTGAGTCAATCGCTGCTGGAATCCACTTTTCACCCCAACAACTCTTTTGAGGTCGTTTTCACTAACATATATAGTGGCCCAGTCGTCAAGCCAATTGAGTAGGGCTGTTTCTATTACTCTCGTTCATGGGATGTTCCTCTCAAAAAGAAGAGAAGTCATAGGCTCATAGTGATGATCCACTTCGGTCAACTTTCAATTATTATATTAAATTGGACAAAGCTGTTCTCTGAATGTTGGATAATGTAATGGAAGCCAGAGAATCTTCAAGGTGGTGAATGAAGCAAATGAGTTCATCAATCTCTCTCTCCCTCTCTGATGAATATGATGATACAACAATCAATTAATTAGACGCGTAGGTTGCACTTACAAAGACGTGTGATAATTTTACACGCAAAAGCAACTTTTCTTGAAGAATAAGGCTGCCCCCTCGTCCCCCACTTCACAGAAAGATAGAAATGATGATGAAATTGGGAGAGCTCGTTGGAGATGCAAATCCATTTCAGTGCCGCCCCACTTCGATCCATTTGACTCTTGCATGGTGGAAGTCGCCTAGCTAGCCATTTTGGGTTCATAAACCCGCCGGCCGGCCGACTTTTCTCGGAGAACTAACTACAAGGCTCCATCTCATCCCGGCAACATACTAAAAAGTAAAAACCCAATTAATCCTTCCCTAGGCATTGCCTTTTTTACTTTTACTTTTCTCTTCCCACCTCGCCTTCCTCTTCTTTGGTGATGTTTCATTGTCTAAGACGCACCAAATTATTTTAATTTGGTGGGTAACAGCTATTTTGATTTGGAGGTTGCTAGAGAGCTGTAAAATGAAATTGAATTGACTATGTGTTTGGTTCTATTTATATTTATTGAATAAATATTTATAGTTTATTTATTTATAAAACTGAGAAAAGTAATAATTACAATCATTTATAATAATTAGGCATCACTAAGTGCCATTAAATTTCATATTAGCGTAACTGTGAAAAAACGTCTGACTGTTTGTGGAAGTTTTAAAAAGTAATTTTCACAAACGGTTGGTATGTACAAAAACCGAAGTCCACTTTTATCATTCTCGATGCATATGAAAGAATAAGAGAGAGAAACTGCTGAATTGGCACCTATGTGACAGCATTTATTAAATAAACGCTCACGGAACCAAACACCCTGTATATATTGGTTTGGGTTTTAAACTTTGTATCCTGATTTTAATTGGATCGTAAACCAATTTTTGCTATGGATTGAATTTGTGACCATAAATATGTTGCACAAAACCTAGAAGCAATTTATTCGAATGACATAAAGAAATGGAAGCGAAAACAGAGATACTAAGAAATCAGAGAAGAGAAAAAACAGAAGTACAGAACACACACAAGTTTTTATGGCTTGCCCTTTCATCCAACTGAAATAGAGAGTACAAGGTCAAACACACAAAACCCTAATCTCCAATAGATCCAAACTTCAAGCTACATCCATTCTCACTGTTTTGTTTGCACCCGATGCAATGAAAAACATATTTTGAAAATACCTTAGGCGTTACATATTTGGACCTATAAACAAAAAACGGGCCTGGTCCATTGTCAACCCAAGCTCAAACCCACCACGGACCTCAATGAAATTTTGCTTTCTAATTCTTCTCCATAGATGACAAGTTGGGTCATGGAGTAGTCTGCAAAAAAGAATTCAAGGCACAACTCAATAGAACAGATTAATGTAATTAATAATATATAAAGATCTCTTATTTTATGATTTATGTTTAAAATGTTAAATTTCATATATACACAATATATATGATAATTTTGGTTAAAAAACTTGTTTTATCAACATATAATAAACAGTCTACTCTTTACTGTGAATTTGTAAGGTTATATTATCAAAAGTGAAATTCCAAATTGTTATGTTATAGGTAATTATAGATTTCAAGTATAATCCAGTCTAGAGTTTACATCTCCCCTCACAAAGGGCCACCCCACAACACCCTACAGTACATTCCCGCCATGTATTAGGAATATCTCCCGATAATAGCATCAGAGCCAATCATGTCATCATCGGGAGATATTCACTCTGATCACTAGCTAGTGGAGTAGATACTTAGAATCAAATGATATATCACACTAATTTGAAAAAAAATAAGTGGAAAAATAATAGTTTTTTAACCTTGAACTTTACTCTGATGGAGGGGTAGTCACAGAATACTTTATTGGAAATTCAGAAAAACCCAAAATGGGGGAGTAAATAAAATAAATAATTATGTTAAAAAATTCTTATTCATTAAACAGAAAAAGCCTTATAAATGCCAAAACAAACATAATAAATTAATTTAACTTTAATTTATTCTAATATTAATATTCCTTCCTCCTTCTTAGGGTTTGAGAGTGGTAGCCAGTTGAGCAAAAAATGAAAAAGAAGAAACATTCTGGGCGGCAGGTCAAACATAAAATTGTGCTCCACTCCACATATATATTGGATGGTCTGAAATTATTAGAACACAATCCCACCAATTGGTCTGTAAAAGAATGAGGTCCTGTCGTCCATAGTGGACAGCCTCGCCACTGTAAATGGATTTCAAATAAAGAAAGAAATAAACAAAGCACATTTCAGTCAAGTACTGCTACGAGACAACATATATACACGTAAACAAAGTTGTAAACAATCGGTTAAGTGTTGATATATTGTTTAGGTGGAGAAAATGATGAACCACTAAGAGAACTTTTCATGCTTTCATGAACAATTAATTCTCTTTTCTCGCTTGCTTTGGGAGGGTGGTGGAAAGAGAATTGAAGCTTCTGGACCAAGGTGGAGTCATACCCCACTTATAAATACATATGTTGTATGCCTTCTCTCCACTCTTCATTCTGTAGTTAACTCTTCCCTCTCTAGCTACTCTTCTTCCCTTCAAATTTGGCCAAAATGGTTATTCCCCATTTTATTGGCGCTTTTTTTATTGTAGAATTGATAATTACTGGAAGCATCATTGGTGTAGATGGCCTGAGTATGGACTACTATCTTATGAGTTGCCCATTTGCTGAAACCATAGTCAAGAACACAGTGAACAGAAATCTGCAATCGAATCCTGCTCTTGCTGCTGGACTTCTCCGGATGCATTTCCATGATTGCTTTATAGAGGTAATGAATCAGAATCATCCCATCTCTCTCTCTCTGTCTCTAACCTCTCCTCACGAAAGAAGAAGGGAGGAAATAAACCCATCTCTCTTATTCTGGGGTTTGTTGGGTTTTCATGCTATTTACAGGGATGTGATGCATCAATCCTCATTGATTCTACGAAAGATAACAAAGCAGAAAAGGACTCCCCAGCGAATTTGAGCTTGCGTGGCTATGAGGTAATTGATGAAGCAAAGGAGGAAATCGAGAATCAATGCCCAGGAGTTGTTTCTTGTGCTGATATTATTGCAATGGCTGCCAGGGATGCAGTTCTCTGGGTAAGAATTAATCTCTCTTTCTCTCTCTAGATCTCTCTCTAATGGGTATCATGTATTAGAGAGATTCTAGTGATGAAATTAATGTTTCTTTTGTTTTTGTAATGATCCTTAATTAATTACATGGTATACGCTTCAGGCTGGGGGTCCCCTATATGACATTCCTAAAGGAAGAAAGGATGGAAGAAGGTCTAAAATAGAGGACACATTTAACCTGCCTCCACCCTTCTTTAATAGCACGCAGCTTATCAAGATGTTCGGACAACATGGTTTTAGTGTTCAAGAAATGGTGGTTTTATCTGGTATTAATGCTTCTTCCTCTTATGCATGCTTTATATCATAAATTATGGGATAAAAACTCATAATATACCCACTGTTGACTTGATCATCAACAACCTGCTAACTCGCCCGGTTGAACCGTTTGTCCCATTTGACCCGGTCAGTGGTCCATATAGGAACTTTTATTTATTATTTTCAGCCCATTTCCCTCTAACGCATACCATTTTATGGGAAAATTCCTGATTAGTACCCTGTACTTTGAGCCTAATGCCACTTTGGTCACCAGATTTTAAAATGCAATAATTCAGTATCTGAACTTTCAAAATGTGTCAATCCAATACCTACCGTTAACCAGATGTTAACCAGCCGTTAAATGCCTTTGACAAAGACACAAATGCCCTTCAAGTGTGTCCAATTTTCTTTATCAACTATCCAAACATTGACAAAAATTTAACAGTCCTAAATCTTTACTTCTTTTATTCAAGAAAGCTGGGGTCCAGAATGCCCACAGAGACGTGCCCCCAACTTTCTTGAATAAAAAAAACAAGAATTTGGGATTGTTAATTTTTTGTCAACGTTTGAATGGTTGATAAAGAAAATTAAATAACACTCGAAGGGCATTTGTGTCTTTTTCAAATGCCACTTAATGGCTGCTTAATAGCTGGTTTAATGGTAGGTATTGGATTGACATGTTTTAAAAGTTTGGGTACTGAATTGTCACATTTTAAAGCTCAAAGACCAATGTACAGTGAGTTTTCCCTAATTTTGTTCAATAGGATGAATGTTTGGTATTATAAGCATATCCATTTTTTTCTATCTTTATATATTTATTATCTATTAATGACATCACAAGTTGACCCATTTTAACTGGATTGTTGGACGGTTGATCCACAACCCAAAGAGAAACAATTCCATTTTCACATCGTTTTCTAAAACACTGGTGTGTATAACGGCTGAAATGGATGGATTAAAAAGCAAGGTTTTTAAAATTAATCTGGATAACAAACCATTCAGGGGTCCGGTTTTTGGGTCGAACGGTCCGATCATTCGAATCAAATGGACAACCCATTCTGACAAAAAAATGCCAAAAACCATTGGACGGTTCGAATGCCCAGGTCAGTGGTTTGCTGACCAAATCAATAATTTTTGGCCAAAAGACAGTTTTGGAGTAAAACAGAATCAGTTAAGTGACCTGTTACTGATTTTTTGGTCCGACCATCCAGTCCGATCTAATTTTGAAAACCAACGTTTTAAGACTCTGCCCCCAATCGGATGGTCAAAAAGTGAAAAGTAGAAACTGGTGACTTTTTGGGGTCCCGGTTAAATGACAGTTTTGGTAGGTTGGACAGACAAACCACCAGGTTAACTGGTAAAACCGGGACCCATAGAGCATTCCGGTTTTTAATCTGATCTGAATCTTAAAACAGTAATGTTTTGTCTGAATACAAATATGTACGTATAAATACATACAAAATCATATAAAGTAGAAGCTTTACACTCTGTAGATTTATATTCGTACTCATTTCAAACTGAGCCTTAGTGAATAAGTTTTCAAAGAGATTGTGTGCTCATTAATAACTGAAGCTGAAATTGTGTAAAACTCTATGCGGCCTTCAATATATTATTATTATTATTATTTAATTATTTTATCAACTAAGAAATAAATCATGAAATCATTCTGTTCAGCAACTTCAGTCGTTATCAAACGGTCCCTATAACTGAAAGTTTTCTGTTGTCTTTGGTATCATTTTATTTTCTTCATGAAATGTTTTGGGGTTGATCATCAATAAAAATTGATGAGAAAGATGAATTGTCATGCTACAAAAGAGAGTCACTTCAATAGGAAAAATGCATGTTGGGAGTTGAGAGTGATCATTGCTATTTAGAGTTGAAACATCAATAGAAATTTGATGATTCAACTAACAACAACAATTTATATTTATGATTGATATGGGCGGATGGGCACATATGGCAAGGCCTGGGATGGCGCAATGTGGCATCGGCTGGATGCAATCCTGGCTGCCCATGCCAACCACCTTCAACCACTCCCAAGGTAAGGTCAAGTATAAATAGGGTGCCCTTCTCCAGGTAAATCCATCTTATTCACTCTTGCTCTCTTGTTCACTAGCTCTCGATTGATCTCGTCTGAGCCTTCACCTCAGACCTCATCCAACCCCTCTCATATACTTGACTAACTTGACCGTTGAAGTCTTCGCCCCTGGGATAACACCTAGGGCCTCTGATATATGATATCTTACTCTCAAGTTGGACACATCGGCCTCGGCTAAGGAAGCGGCTTTATCTTATTGCCCTCGACCCCATCCTTGACAGCAACAATGATCAACCCAAAACATTTTTAATACCAGTTTTTATTGATCAACCCCAAACGTTTGATGAAGAAACCAAACACAACTTTAATTACCAGCTAGGCTTACTGTTTGTCTTCTCTCTAGGGGGACACACGCTGGGAACAGCAAGATGTTCATCCTTCAAGAGCAGATTGAGAAAATTTGATGCAACCAATGATGTGGATCCTACTCTTGATCAGAACCTCGCAAAGGCAATGTCCCAAACATGTAATGCCGGGGATGACGCAGAATTTCCTTTTGACTCTTCCAAAAACGCATTTGATAATTTATATTTCAATGCACTGCAAAGGAAAGCAGGAGTTCTCACCTCCGATCAGACCTTGTTCACAAACCCCAAAACCAGGGGCATTGTCAACGCTTATGCCATGAACCAAGCAATGTTTTTCTTTGATTTTTCTCAAGCAATGGTTAAGATGGGTTTGCTTGATGTTAAAGAAGGTGATAAAGGAGAAGTACGAGAAAACTGTCGCAGAATCAAATGATTCTCCATGGGTGGAAAGCTCAAATTTTATATGTATTGTGCCATATACACCTTAATTAATAAGTGTAGTCTTGGTCAATTGCAATCCTTCATGTGTATTATCTCTTAATACATGTATATTTCTATCTAATAAACCATACGGTTTCTTCCTTGATAGTGCTTCTATTACATCTATGAGGGCATTTTTTTTTGGATTTTGAGAGGGGGGAAATTGGTCAATGGGATTTTGGCTCCCATTGACCAAGAATCCCATAATCTTTTTTTAGATTTATGTGGGGACCGAGGAAAGTTTATTTTCTTGGTATCACTTGAATGTGACAAAAATGCTCTTTTTAATAATAGATTTTTATGGCTAAAATGATCATTGCCTTTTTTACATGAGAAATAAAAGAACATGGGTAAATGCACTTACTTGGTTAAGTGTTTGAAGGGATGAGAGATCCATTATATGGATAGCCAAACCCAGTAAGTAGGTTGGGCAAAATTTCAAAAATTTCTCTCTCCCATCTAGGAATCACATTCCCTGTTTTAGAAAATTTGCATTTTCAATGATCAATCTTGAACCTAAATCGAACCAGATCTGACACCAAAAGGTAGGAGAGGGATATACCTGATACGGAGTAGCAGTAACTCTCAACGAATGTGTTCATGCCCAAGGAAAACTCCAAAGACTACTCCTACTGAAGATGACACAGTATAGGGTGGAGCAGAATCAACAAGTGGTTCTTCCCAAGAACCGAATCCTTCAGCAAGAATTCAATGGAGGCGATGTGAGCACGACTTCATATCAGCTTTTCTCCAAAAACTGATATTAAGAACCCTTCTTGATCGCTCCTACAGTGGAGAACAAACTGGCAATGGCGGCAGGAGGAGGAGGGTGCAAGAGCAGAAGATGGCACAGTCTTACTGTTGTTGTCTTCTCTCTTTCTGTAATATGAGATCAGATTTAGTTGATGTGTCTGGAGGTTTGCTCCCCTCCTCCTTTTATAACTTTAAAAAGAACCTCCTAATCTCATTAGGAGTTTCCTAATCCAAATCCTTATTTGGATCTGTACTCTCTTTAAGAAATAAGGATAAGTCCTTATCTTATCTACAGATTAGATCAACCCTCCTAATCTTATTAAGAGCTTCCAGATCCAAATCTTTATTTAGATCCAGACTCTCTTATTCGATAGGGATAACTCCCTATCCCATCTATTGATCTAAATCCCAGAACCGCCCCTCTTTAAATAATCTAATTATACCAGTTCGAATTGGGCTTTAGGCCCATTAAGTCCATGTGCTCATTTGGCCTCCAAACTGCTGCCCAGTTGGGCTTCCTTGTATGGCATGGGACCCAAACATTGATCTACACATTAACCACATGGGTTCAACCTAACCTCTGTTACAAGGCCTGGCCGAGTTCACTGTTATGGACAGCGAACCCCTGAGCCCATCACCATGGGCTCTTAATGGGCCCAACACTTACACTAAGTGGTCCCTGGGCCAAGCCACCTTATAAAAACCCAGGGGCTGTGGGCAGATGCAAGATTAGCCCATCAGGTATTATCCTCAATGGTCTTACACTTAACCTCTCAGCCCATAATGAT